CTAATGATGTTTCAGCACACATTTTTTATTCAGAACTATTATCTTGATGCGACATGCTTAATGAAATGAAGAAACACGCATAGCATAGCATTCTGAGCTCTATCTATCGAAACGTGCTTGAAGTAGACCCTGTAATCAAAGATCTTCCCTTAGCCCCCTCTGGCAGTTGACATATGTTGTAACTGGGCTTTTTTCGTTTGGGCATTCCGCCATCCTCGGCTGTAAGTAAGTTGGCCTTATCGGGCAGCAACAGATCAAACGGACTTTGGGCACATTTTGTTGCATTTCATTAAAACGAATTGCTGCCGCCTGTTGCCTGCCAAACTTTCCCACGTTTGACGCCTACCTCTGCTGGCAGATACCACGCAATGCGGCGCCAGGTCGTGTTGCAACACTTCCGCATACGGAGTCGTTGTCACCGGAACGGTAAATCACGATTTTGTGTAGATTTCGCTGACCGCGCAACAAGCGGAAATTTCAGTTCAGTTTTTTTTTTTTCAGTTTGGGGTGAAAATTATAGAAAATATGCGCACAGCTTTTTACTTCAAGTTTTTCCGCGCACACAATTTCCACCCCGAATAATAAATAATTATAATGCCATTGGGTGGTGTGGTGGTGGTGCTGTCATAGCCATAGCTGCCAAGTGCCTTGGCTTTCCCTTCGCCTTGGCAGCAACCACCGCGAATCGCGTCCGTTTAATTGCATTCGATATGCGCTTTTGGGAAATTTCCCACGATTTTCGTGCTAGATTTTCACGACAAGGTAACGCAACGTTAAGCTTGGCTGCTGGCCCTCCCTCTATACCCTAGCTCCCTATATCCCTCTCTCCCTCTCTCTCTCTCTCTCACTCTCTCTGAGCTCAACATATTTAGAGTATAGGGCTTCTCAAACGCATCATAATCAACATGCCTGCCCGCTGATTGTTTTCGCGACTGACCGCGACGGCTGGAAAGGGGTTGGGGGTTGATCGCAGCAATGCCCTAAATACCTCTACACACACACACATGCATAGATGGCTTGGACAACGGCTAGGATGCCCTAGCGTAGTCTGAGATTTGTGTGACTCATAACGAGTTTTTCGTATTGTTCTAGATATTTTCTCTTTTCGCCTCGCTTGGACTTTAAGTGGATCGGCATGTAGATCGGGCCACGGCATCGGAATCGCGCAGGCGCTACTAATGCCTGGCCATTGTTCTTTGGCAGCTCGCGAACGCCTTGGCATCCTTTGTTTAGCGCCAGCTGCCGCATTGTTTTGCCCCTGGACAGCGGCGAGCGCCCATTAATCCAGTTCTTCATCCTTTTTTTCTCCCTCTCTCTCTTTTTATTTCGTAAGAGGTTGAGGTAGTCGAGGATTCAGTTACGCCAGCTTAAAGCGGCGTCCAATTGAGGCAAGAGATACTTTATGTAAATTTCTTTTTTGTTTTTAAGCATTATAGTTACTTTTTTTGTTAATCCAGTTTAAATCGATGCGCGAATGTCCTTTCGAATATTAAACGAAAGAAAGGGTA